ACAATATCTTAATGCACGGAAGCACGATAGCTTATCAGGCGAAGGAACTGCAGCGAGGCGAACGAAGATACAAACGGAAGCCATTTTCGCGTTCGCTGTTCGGTTTCCCTGGTAATCGTACGCGAATACCCGATAAATCGAAATTTCTCCGCGACTTTCACGGCAACTCCCTAGTTTCCCCTATACGGGGCCGCAGTTTCAGGGTCAAAGGACACAGGCATGGCCTTGATTCTCGGTAGGCCATCCTGGTCACGAATGTTTGTTTATCGTGGAAAGTGCGGCAATGGGAATGTGCAGTAATCGTGTACTTTATTCCCAACGAGTACTTCTTCGATGTTAATCAGTAGTTTTAACGAAGTTTATGGCGAACATAGTTTTTGGAGTAATATTTACCTCGAATTTAATTTTTGTTGATAATCGTATATATTTTGGGAGTGATAGTAATTGAATAGAGCAGATGAATAAAAATTGGGTTAGTTGATGGAGGGTTAGGTTAGGTTAGGTTAGGTTAGGAGGAGGGTATTAATTTTTAGAGAAATCGAGGAGAAAGTGAACAGATAAGTAGACATTAATTTTGAAGTGGAATAATATAAATATAAATAGAGAATGCTAGGCTTCGTTATGTTTTCGTAAGTGAAAGTAATTCTAAAGAAATTATAATTAATAATAAGAATAATAAGAATGGAAATAGATTATATATTAAATATTAAATATAAAATAAATATTAAATAATAAGAATGGAAATAAATTCAAAAGAAAGATGAGAAATACTATCTTTAAATTAAAAAGATACTAATTTTAACAGAGAACAAATTCATAGAAAGTATTAACTTTCACTATTTCTTCCAATAATACAATAAATAAATTAATATTTAAATAGATTACAAAGTCACGTATGTAGCCAAATTTGTCACAAAGAAAGTACATATAATTTCCAAGTTATTAAACAAATTATCTTTTTCAACCCCAATTTTGAGGCTTCTTTTTACCTTCACCCCTGAATATGTGTCATCACCAATAAAATAAAATATACTGCATAAATATCATCAAAGTTACTCGCTGATGTTCAGCAAATATGCTTGGTATGAAGATACTATATATAATTTCCAGGCTATTAAAAGAATTATCTTTTTCAACCCCAATTTTGAGGCTTCTTTTTACCTTCACCCCTAAATATGTATTATCGGCAATAAAATAAAATATACTGCATAAATATCATCAAAATTACTCGCTGATGTTCAGCAAATATGCTTGGTATGAAGATACTATATATAATTTCCAAGCTATTAAAAGAATTATCTTTTTCAGCCTCAATTTTGAGGCTTCTTTTTACCTTCACCCCTAAATATGTGTCATCGCCAATAAAAATACTGTAGTAAATATCATCAAAATTACTCGCTGACGTTGGGCAAATTTGCTTGGCTAGTATGAGCTAACCCAAATGAAAGTCCTCATCGCTTTATGATAATCTATATTAGTCCATTCAGCGTAACTAGATTAGGAAGCTAATGGAAAGCTCGAGACTGCATCTGAGCTGGTTCCGACGTTGGTCCGTTTGGTATTCCTTTATGTGTTAATTCCCGATACTCTGCTCTACGATTCGTTGCACGTCTCCGTTCCATCGTTCCCGAGTTAATAAAACGGAGATGATTTTTCATCCTTTCAACCATTTTGTTGTTCCTAGCTGTACTTCTTTCACCAGTGTTTTGTTCACCGTGAATGGCTTATTCAGCTGCTTGAAGAATTAGGCCAGATCTCACGTCGTTCGGTCTGCCACCTTTCTACGCCATCGAGCATGGATCATTACACATTATCAGCTTCTTATGTCTACCTTCTATTTAACGTGGCTCGTTATAACAGGCAATTAAGTTGTTCAAGAGGTCCAGTCCTCTTCTTTCATGTCACATAACAACACGCTCTTCTTCACCCTGTTTAATCGGGTTTAATCGGTTCATGCTAACCTGATTACCTTCTCTCTATGCGGTTCTTCCTCTTCTCGTCGTTTCCTCGGACTCTGAGCATCTTTTTCATCTATTTCTTCGATTTCTAGGGCTCCGGACTTCTTCTTCGTCTATTTTCTCGTTTTCTCGGACTTCGAACTTCTTCTTTGCTTATTTCTCTGTGGGTTCTGAGACTTCGAACTTCTTCCTTCGTCTTCTCGTCGGTTTCTTGAACTCTGGATATCGTTTTCATCTATTTTTTCGACTTCTAGGGTTCTAGACCTTTTCTTCGTTTATTTTCTAGTTTTCTCAGACTTTGGACGTCTTCTTCGTCTATTTCTCTTCGGTCTTTGAGAGTTTGAATTTCTTACTTCGTCTTCTCATCGTTTGCTTGGAGGCTGGACATCTTCTTTGTCTACTTTTTAGATTTCTGGAGCCTTGGACTTCTTCTTCGTCCATTTTCTCCTTTTTTTAAATTTTGGACTTCTTTTTTCGCCTATTTTTCTTCGGTTTCTTAGAGTTTGATCTTTTTTCTTCGTTTTCTCATTGTTTCCTTCTGTTTTTTCTATTTCTAGGGTTCTGGACTTCTTCTTCGTTTATTTTCTCGTTTTCTCAGACTTTGGACTTCTTTTTCGTAAATTTTTCTTCGGTTCTTGAGACTTTGAACTTCTTCCTTCGTCTTCTCAGCATTTTCTTGGTCTCTGGATATCTTCTTTATCTATTTCTTCAATTTCTGGTACTCTGATCTTCTCCTTCGTCTATTTTCTCGTTTTCTCAGACTTTGGACTGCTTCTTTGTCAATTTTTGTTTGTTTTCTAAGATTGTAAATTTCCTCTTCGTCTTCTCATCATTTTCTCAGACAGTGGACATCTTTTTCATTTATTTTTTCGATTTCTGGGGCTTTGTACTTCTTCTTCGTCTACTTTTCTTCGTTTTCTAAGACTTCGAACTTCTTCCTTCGTCTTCTCATCGTTTCCTTAGACTCTGGACATCATCTTTATCAATTTTTTAAATTTCTGGCGCCCTGAATTTCGTCTTTAATTATTTTCTCGTTTTCTGAGAGTCTGAACTTCTTCTTCGTCTATGTTTCTTCGTTTTCTGAGACATTGAATTTCTTCTTCGTCTTGTCACCGTTTTCTCAGTCTATGACCATCCATTTTATTTATTTTTTCGATTTCTAGGACCCTGAACCTCTTCTTCATATACTTTTCCTTGTTTCTTGAGACTTTAAACTTCTTCTTCGTCTCTTTCTCGGTTCTTAAGACCCTGGATACCTTCCTGTACTCCTGGTTTCCTAAGACTATGCACATCTTCGTCTAATCCTTGTTCTCTGATTCTCTGGAGATCTTCTTTGTCTCTTTCTCGGTTTCTGATACTCTGGACTACTTCTTCGCCATCTTCTCCATTTTTAAGACTCTAAACATCTTCCTTCTCTTCTCATTTTAAGATTCCAAGCACCTTCTTTACCTTTTTCCCATTTTCTTAGACTCTAGACCTCTTCTTCTTCTGCTCGTTCCCTAAGACTCTAAACATCTTCCCCTTCTTCTCATTTTTTAAAATCCCAAATATCTTCTTCATCTTTTCCTCGTTTTCTAAGCCCTGGAAATCTTCTTCGTCTATTTTTTCGTTTCCTAAGAACCTAGACACCTTCGTCAACCTTTTTCTTTCTAAGACCATGAACATTCTTGTCTATTCCTCATTTTCTCAGACTCTAGACACGTCTCTCGTCCAGTGGATGATCCATCGTCACAGGAGACTCCCGTCCAGGCAACATTGACCCAGATCATAGTCCTTTTTCGTTCCCTGGCACGGTGCTTTTGCCATCGTGATTAATCGATGAGAAGCAGTATCGTTTATCGCCGTTAAAGTTCACGAAAGGTAACTTCTTTCACGTGTTAGAGGCTGCAAGTCTCCGGGACGTGGAATTGCATCAGGCGCGCACTTGAAGTGACTGGGCACATTTTGCAACCTCCTGTCGAGACTTCTTCAACGGTGCAAAAAGCCAATAGCTCCGACGTATTATGTCTATATTCTTATTTATAAAGCGATTTTTCGAAGGCCGGGGTAAAAATCCACCACCAATGCTTCGTGCCGTGAAATTACTCTTCATCGATGACATTTGTTTTCGACCGTTGCGCTTTTTGCACTGGAGCAGCGAATAGTTTGAATTCGCTGGATCATATTGAACCTGACTTCCTTCGAGATTGTAGGTCTATGCTTGCTCTTCGAGGCATTTCAACGATTGCGTTTCAATCTTTTCACGAATGAAATACACAGATTGGAGTCCAACATAGTTTACAATACTGGTACAATAATATATACTGGAATAATATATTACAATACTAATACTAGGATAGAGTATATACGATACTAGCATACTCGCAAAAATATTCGGAAGAACGAATCATGAAATTCATGATAACTCTTTGCACTCGGCGATCTTTTCGATTCAGAAGCATAGTAATTCGAAGGCTTTCTGCCATAAAGTCGACGATATTTTCAAAATGGTAAATAAGAAGTGCAAATTAATTGCAAATTGTTTTCCTTCCTTTTTCCCACGTCATTGGGGAATTTAAAATTCGAGATATTAATTAACAATGATCTTTATAATCTGATTAAATGGTAACTGAGAGTCGCCTCTCGAGTGCAAAGGGATAATTTATTTTTCAATACTTAGGTATATTATTTGCAATAATAATTCTACATTAATATTCTCTATTTCTATGTGTTTGAATATTTTTGTGAAGTATTGAGTATTTATTTATTATATATTATGAATTTGAGTATTTTTCTTATACATAATTCTTTCAAATTTTTCCATGCCTAAGTTTGGACAATTTTTAATCGATTTCGAGGTTTCTTTACTTCTAGACACCTATCCTCTTGTTAGACTTGTCATTAGATCAGTGAAATTTCATTTATCGAAATAGAATTTAGGAATTATTCCATTTGTAATAATTACAGCAACGATATATAACAACTAGATGCTTTGAAAATATCTGTACACTTATAAATATTTTATTATACACCTAGTCAGATCTAACGCCTGTCTAGGTCATTTGTCGTCAATCGATTTACCGAATACTCGGGACTTTCATATTTTCTAGTTACAGAGACATAAAAAGTTGGGAGTTTCTGCAGTGAACTGCGTCTTCTTTTGTAGAAAGAAATATCCCAACGTTTTGCAAGCACTACGACCAACTTCGTCAGCAGTCCAATGACACTCTGATACAGCATTATCAGTGTCCTCTGATGAACTTACTTGCAACTCTCGTTGAAATCGTTGAGCTATTTATGAATAATGTCTGCTCCGAATTCGAGGAGTTCTTCGAAAAAGAGACAATACCATTATTTGTCTCGATTTTCGATGATATAATTTTGGTATTTCATTGGTAGTCGATTTCTATATTATATGGGCTTCAGTATAGTTTCGTCGGTGTAGTACCGGTTGATTAAATCCATGATTCGCATAAGCACAATTTTCCGTTCCCCTAAACGCTCCCAAAATTTACTATAAATTAACACAGCAAGAGAAAATCTAAATTGCTGTCATTTTCTTTTAAATTCACAGTTTTTTAATTTAAATATTTCCTACTTTTCTATTTTTCGATAAAAATAACAGTCTCTGCTGTATCAGCCATCCGAACCCATTTTATAAACCTGCCTGTATGCATAATTGTATAATTTTTATAATTTTCTCTCTTTCGTAACGAAAAAAATTACAAATGTTCTAGAAGCCTGGATAAATAAAATAGCGGAAACCGCATGTCGAAAAGTCAAGTGGTTTCTTCGAAAAAAATTCCCAAAGATGTCCTCTATTTTAATCCGGATTCGTGGAAGACCCTGTTTATATCAAGTTCCTAGGGCCATTTATACGTCTGGTCGCAGGACGCTTCGTCCTCCAAATTGAGCGGACAGTATTCCTCGGCAGTGACCCTATCCAAATCCCCTATATCCGCTCTCGGCTTGTACGGTAGCTGGGAGACCAAGATACCCTCGATCGGTTCCTTCTGATCCGCGTCCTCCTCGAATTCCCAGAAGTCGTCGTTGGATACCTGATCCCTTATGACCGACTTAAAGTCCCTCTCGGTCAGCGTGATCGTCTTCACGTTTCGCCTCCTGGGCGATTGATTCTCGCGCGAAATGTCCCTAGGGGCGCGCTGCCTCCTGTCGTATTTATTTCTCTTCGGCGGGCTCTTAGACACCGCGGAGACTGATCGATGATGATCGTCGTTCTCCCGGCGTTCGAGGTCACGGCCGTCGTGATTAATAGGTTGTCGAGAATCCTGTTCATTCTCGGACGACTTCCTACTTTCCAGCCCCGATTCCGCGACGGTTCCCAGGAATGCATTTTTATCGGTAGATTCCCCTGCGGCCTCGTTTTCACTGGTGCCACCTGTCACCCGAGTGCCGTCGCTCGTTCCAACGGAAACGTTTTCTGCAGCTTCGACCGCACGCGACACAGTCTCCGCGGCTTCGAGGATCTGCCGCGGCGGCGCCAGCGTCGCGTCTGGGCGTGGCGTGGTCGCACCGGGAACGGCCTTACCGACCGCGTCGGCCACGTCGGACCTCATTCGCGGATTCTTTCGATACTCTTCCTCCAAGTAGCTTCGGAACTGATCCCTGAAGTAACCGTCGATCATTTTCCACACGCTGGTGCTGTACCAGGTGAGTACGCCGATGAGAAAGATGCCACGGACGATCAATCCCAGCATGGTCGTCCCGTGTCTTGTTTATCGTCCGGTCTTTAATTGCCTTTGGCCAATTCAACGCGTAATTTATAACAAGCGTGACCTCGCTGCTAATAGCTATTCCAATTTATCCAGATATTTCCATGCGGAGAGGTTATGGTTCGCTCGCGTGGAAATTCTTCGAGGAAACTTAAGAATAAGAATTTGCTGCTTTACGACCTCGAGAATCGATACATCGATACTCGATATCGTGTCACGAGCACGGGGAAATAAATATTTCTGTATCGTTTACCCTCTTTGATGTTGAGTCATGTTACGCGTTAGTATAATACGAACGCACGTCTAGAGGTTATGTTCTCAGATAATTTGAAACAACGTCGTTACGTATCCGGAATTACTTAAGTGAAATAGGTTAGGAATAGGCTAACTTCACTCGACACTTATGTATTTTTGGAGACCGAGAACCTCATTCGACTGGCTATCTTGGTTTCCAAACTACGATTTTCGATTATGTCGGGTATAAAACACTGTCTCTTATAATTCACCGTAATAATAATCTTTCAGGATACCGATAACTTCCTGGAATTTGGGTAGGCCCATCGTGAAGAAAATTAGGATGGAATTGGCAATGACGAAGAGTCTCATCATCTCAAGGCCATCGTTCGACCTCAGCCACTCGCTGAAACCTTGATTCTCTTCGTCGTTCAAAGATATCTCGTTCTTCTTCTCGTTTTTCTCGTCATTCGTCTCGCTCTGTCTACCCTTTCCACCTTTGTTTTCATTATTGCTTCGTTTCTTCATCGCTCCTATGTGAATCTCATCTGAAAATCACGAAAGTTTCCATTTTTAGGATAATTAATTTAATAAAAGATATAAGGAATTTTGGGATTTTGATTTTATTTTGCATTTTAATTAGACTAGGGTTATTCTGAGTTAACTCGGGACTCGTTGCAAGTATTATGTGTAAGAATGATTCCGGTCATCGCCACTCTGGAGTACAGTTTTCCCTGTGTCTATAGTGAGCTCGCCTAAAATACATTGCCTTAGGAGTTGGAGGTAAAAATGGAGCTGCAATGTGGTTGGTGCTGTCTTGGAGGTGCTTCCTTGGTGCTATCACGTTATAGCTATGAATAGGTCAATAAGTTTGAAAATTGAAGCGCTTCATATTTCTGCTTTTTGCTGTTAAATGTTCTTCTGAGCAGAATGAATTATTGATGAGGTAAAATTAACACGCAGCTCCATCGACGACTATGTATGAAATAGTAATCAATCATTAGAGTGAGGCACATACTTGTTAGAGGTTGGAAAATTTGAATAGAATTACTATAAATATAAGCTGCGTTAATGGCTACATATAAAATAGTAATCAATCACATGATTGAGACATATACTTATCCCAAATTAGAAAAATTAAATAGACATGTTATGAATACAAGTTCTCTTAATGATTGTACGTGAAGTAATCAATCATTGGATAAAGACGTTCATTTAGTCCAAATTAAAAAATTTAAATAAAATTGTTACAAATATAAGTTCTCTTAATGACTGTATATAAAAATAGTAATCAATCAGAATGGACGAAGACAAGTGCATATTTCAAATTAGAAAATTTAGATAAAGAAAGTTATTAATAGGGAAATTAATTAGTATACTTACTGTCTATTTTATTTTGTATGAATACGTGTATGAATATTAATATGTGTAATTAATAATGTGGAAAATTTAATCCAGTGAAAATAATTATTCTCATTTGTCTTTCAATCTTTATACTCCTCGTAGGCAAATTCAAAATTGTTTTGTCCATTTAAAACTGATGTTGAAATTATTCCATTTATCCAAAAGTAAAATTAAAATCGCCCTATTCAGCCAGAATTAAAATTAATATAATTTCATTCATCGAAAGGTTAAAATAAAAATTATATTATTTACCCAAAATTAAAATTAAAATTATTCCACTTATTTGCAACTGGAATTAAAATTATTTCTCCCTGGAAAAATAAAAATTACGATTATTCCATACACCTACAACGAAAATTAAAATTAAAATTATCCCATTCATCTAAAATTAAAATAAAATTATTCCATTCATTTGCAACTGGAATTAAAATTATTTCCCCCTGGAAAAATTAAAATTGTGATTATTCTATTTACCTGCAACTGGAATTAAAATTATTTCCCCCTGGAAAAATTAAAAATGCGATTATTCTATTTACCTGCAGCGAAAATTAAAATTATAATTATCCCATTCATCTACAATTAAAATAAAATTATTCCACTCATCATTTGCAACTGGAATTAAAATTATTTCACTGGCCAGCAATTGAAATTAGACTTATTCCATTTACCTACAGCGAAAATTAAAATTAAAATTATTCCATTCATTCAAAGTTGAAATAAAAATTATTCCACTCATTTGCAGCTGGAATTAAAATGATTTCCCTCGCGAAAAGTTAAAAATAGAACTATCCAATTCACCTACAATTATTAAAATAAAAATAAAAATTCCTTTTAAGATCGAAACCATCTCAATCACCCAGATTCCATCTCAACCGAAATCACCCGAAAATCTCGAAATACCATATCGCGTTAATTTCCGACTAATTCGTTTACACCCGTCATCTTCCTAGTGCCAACTTAATGGAACCTCCCACTCCCACTCGCTATCGTCCCGAAATTGCGGTGTCGCGTCGATGCATTCACTGGCATGACAGTTTCGGAGTAATCGATGCAGGCTAAATGAACTGGATTCGAGTAACGCCCACCCTCAGCTCTTGTCTTCGAAATGTCAGGCGATCCACGCGCATTAGCTCTCTCGCGTGCAGCGGCGACAGAGGCATATTTCAGACATTCCGTCACGTATGGAAGACGCGAGTGCCCGAACCGAGCCGAGCCACGGCGATCATCACGTGACGTATTATACGTGCGTGAATCACCTGCGCGCGCACAATGGCCGCGCGCACGATGCAACTCTCGAGTGGTGGGGGTAGCCCGAGCGCCACGAGACATCTATTTCTGCGCCCACGTGTGCTCCTTGCCACTCGAGCAATTCCTTATGCGCGTTGGGGATGAATAATTCGCATTTTCCTTTTTACGTCGATGGCACACCGACATTTCTCTATGTTCCTCCGGTTTTAATTGAAGGCGAAGATAAGGGAGACGAGAGGAGATATTTCCGACGAGGTTCATGTGAAGTAGCAAGCGGAGTAACGGTGTATAATGTTGGTTATAGTGTATATGTAAGTATTAGGTTAGGGTAGTCTTGTTGGAAAATTTTATTTATTTTCCTGTTCTATATTTACCTGTTTATATATTTGTCTGTACCGATTCCATATATTTGTTAGACCTGTTTCCTATTTAATTATTTTATTTTATTTTTTAAATTGCTTATTAAAATTAAATATCCTTTAACAAGGATAAGCCTTTATACTTCAACAAGGAAATTTGTATATAGGACCGAAGAATTTGTCAAGAACTATCTTCTCTGCTATTTTATTTATTTACCTGTTTATATATTTAGTCCGTTCCGATTCTATATATTTATTAGACCTGCTTCCTATTTAATTATTTTATTTAATTTCCTGTTTTAAATTGATTAGTATAATTCTGTTCAATAGGATGTTAATGAGTTCCTTGACATTAAGTAGCGGTTAAATTAATTGTTTTTATCCATCAACGAGGAATGACGGACGTTTCATTTGTTATTATTAACTCAGAATTATGATTCATTTTCTCATGAAAATTGTATATAGGATTGAAGAATCTGCCATGAACTATCTTCCCTGCTATTTTATTTGTTTATCTGTTTATATATTTAGTCCATACCGAATCTATATATTAAATTATTTAATTTAATTTTCTGTTTCCTATTTAATTATTTAATTTAATTCCCTGTTTCAAATTGCTTATTAAAATTAAATATCCTTTAATAAGGATTAGTCTTTATCCTTCAACGAGGAATGACGGACGTTTCATTTGTTATTATTAGGTCAGAATGATTACTCATTTTCTCGAGAAAATTGTATATAGGATTGAAGAATCTCTCAAAAACTATCTCCTCTGCTATTTTATTTATTTACCTGTTTATATATTTAGTCCGTTCCGATTCTATATATTTATTAGACCCGTTTCTTATTTAATTATTTTATTTAATTTCCTGCTTTAAATTGCTTATTATAATTCTGCTCTATAGGATGTCAATGAGTTCCTTGAGTTTAAGTAGCGGTTAAATTAATTGTCTTTATCCTTTAACGAGGAATGACGATGATGACTCATTTTCCCATGAAATTTATATATGGGACCGGAGAATCTGCCAAGAACAACCTTCCCTGCTATTTTATTTATTTATCTATTTCCTATTTAATTATTTTATTTAATTTTCTCTTTTAAATTGCTTATTATAATTCTGCTCTATAGGATGTTAACGAGTTCCTTGACTTTAGGTATCGCTTAAATTAAATGTCTTCATCCTGTAATGAACAGTGACGAACGTTTTAGTCGTTATTCTTAGGTCAGAATGTCTCCTCATTTGCCCCACGGAATTTATATATAGGACCAAAGAATTTGCCAAGAACTTAACTGTTATTTCTTTCGATTACTCTCAAACACATTATTCCAAGTCATTCACTTTTCTTCAAACTCCTGTTGCTGACCTCAATCTTCTCTCAACGTGACATATCATGGATACTATTATTTCATGATATAAGTCAATCCAAGGATAGAATTTTTATTATTGGACCAATTAATTCATTTTCCCAATGAAATTTACGTATAACACCAAATTATCTACCCAAAAATACCTTCTCTATTTAATTTCTATAATTCTCCTACAGTTCCTCTTGACACACGAATGTTATTTCATAATAAAATTTTCATAATAGAACTGTAAAATTAAAATATTAAAATTATTAAACCAAAATTTGTTTTCCACGCAATTCTCCAATGAAATCTACATGGAAGACCGAGGCACCTAACTTCTCTACTATTTCTGTTACACTCAGACACCTCAACCCAAGTCATTCACTTTCCACCAAACTTATATATCTCTCCTCAACGCTTCCTCAACAGAGAAGGTGTCGACAACTAGAAAATATCACCAAGACTCGCGGAAATCTTTGAAAAGTGAATTCGCAGTGAACCTCATCCCTCTTAGCAGCCTCTGTGAGAAATCGTGGAAGCTGATGTAGGATCATTCTTCTCGGCAATCTCTATTCAAGAAATCGTGGAAGCTAATATAAGATCGTTCTTCTCGGCAATCTCTATTCAAGAAATCACGAGATCTGCCACGAATTCAGCACCGAACGAACGTACTTACTCCTATTTTACACGCGTTATAGATTTAGATCGTGACACATTCGCTTACCCGTGACGAACACCAAGGAAATTGCAGGCGGGACGAGGGCGTTATCGGGGAAGGACAGCCGAGTTACGAACGACAGTTTCCATGCACGCTTGCACTTCTCCAAATTTCAGATCGCTCAGCACCGACAAGGGAGTTACCCCGAGTTTGCTTTCCCATTATTCCACCTTTAAATACC